TCCCCCTTTTGTTGTGTAAAAAGGGGCAAGATTTTCTTTCCTCTTTGATTTTTCTTACTCATTCAAAATATGCAGCCTTGCAAAGCATTCCCTGTCAAACAGAGATAATGGAGATTTCATTGGCCATTGACTTGCACATGCTGATCTATCTCCTAAACAAAAGCATCAGCATGCTCACACAGGAGGAATCTGGCCAGTTGGAGGGCTTTATTGAATACTTAAATACAAAATTAAACCATTTGTAACTATTGCATTTACTGTAAAAATCTGCAGAAGGTAATGACTGAATGGGTAATTTAAAACAAAAGCACCAGCAGAGAAATATAACTAAAAGTTAGCCCTGAGAAATCCTGTTCCAGATTTCTGCAAAGCATAGTTGGAAAAGGGCTTGCATTTTTTTTTTTCCCCCAATACAAAGCAATTACAGGCATTACTAAATAATAAAAATCCATGAAGTGTTCAGGCATTCTGGGTTTTTTCTGCACTAGGTCATGTTGGTAAAAGTTACAAGATCCCATGGCCTGCTGACAGCTCTCCACCTTTGACAGAACACTACGAAGACAAATGCTTACGTAATCGAACACTGTATATTTGTTTTTAAATGTACCCACTATTCTTAGTATTAGCATCATGAGAACAAATATAGGAACTTGTTGAAATTTAGAACTGTATTTGCCCCTTAAAGAACCAAACTCTGTGCCTGTAGTCTGAGTGCAGCCAGTACAGGACATAAAATATCACAATATAAAATGCAGCTTGTAATAAATCATCTAAATCAACTTCTGCAACCTATTGCTGATAATGATCATAATATCACCTACTGTGTCCGTGTCAGCAGCTTTTGCATTCTGATGACAACTTCAAATATCCAGAAGTAATCAGGATTTCCAGTTATTTTGAAAACCAGAGTGTCCCACTTCCAGACTCAAATAATCAGAAAAAAATCATAGAACTGGCTACTTCAAATTTTAAAGATTTTCTTCTAGTTGAAGTTCATCAAGAAGTACTAAGATATTCCTATATTGTTTTGTTACTAATGCAATGACATTTCATATTCTCTTCAAATGAATACTCAGTAAAGTCAACATAAACTTTTAATATTGAAATGCTCTGAGATGCCAGTATTGACAGCTATACACAGAAGAAAGTGTTCGCTGAAGCATTCTCTCTTCAGAAAGATTCTCAAAACTCATCAGTAAGAATGAGCAACATTAAGTCAAAACACCTGAAAATGCTCTACAGAACACTGACCTCACAGAAACTTGAGGATAGCATCTGTTTCATAATGATAATTTTGCATAAATGTTTCAATAGTGGAAGTGCTCTAGGAGACTGTAAGAGAACTACCAGTCTGCCACTGAGGCAAGCAGTTCAACTGAAAAAAAATTCAGACAAACTAAAAAATTTATATCTGACTCAATTAATTAAAAAATTCAAGTAATATGGAATAGTATAATAAAGCTCTCATTTTATACTTAGCCTTGTTTAAATCACATCATGCATTTAGTGGAAATCTGTTCAGATTTCTCTATTGTAACTAAAAAATGGTTCATTAAATATGAGTAAAGCACACGTAAAACAGCTCAGAAATCAGTTTGTTTATAGACAACCACTAGAAATCATCATTCAGTACAGCTCCATCTGATAGGGTTTTTCTGGCATCAGTACTAAGTTCACCAGTATTAAACAAATAGAAAAGAAATATGAAAATACAGTTCTGTTTGGCAAGCTTGGATGTTAAAAATGTATTTTACCACTGCCAAATTTGGAATTATATCCAGGAATAGAAAATACAGATAGTATTTATAGATTGGACACTGCATTCTTCAGAGTAATTAAGGAAAAAGACAGAGTCAAAAAGGAGGAAACACTCTCCTTTCTCTGTCAGGCTATGGCTAACAAGTTGAATTTTATCTTTAGATCTATGAATGGGAGAGGACTGAATAGAAGAAAATGGATATTATTTAATGTAACATTAATGAGATCAATCCTGCAATACTACACCCAATTCTCATGCCAGTTTTTTCATTAGATTTACAAAGCTAGAAAAGGTACAGCAATAGGCATTAAAATTATACAAGAAAAGGAGAACACAGCTTAGAGTGGGATTTAAAGTAGGTTAATCTACCTAAAAAAGACTAAAAAGTTGATACCTTCAGCAAAAATAAGAGATACAAAATAGATGCTGTATAACTAAAAGACAAGGCAAGGTCAATGGTTGAAGTCAAATGAAAACAAATTTAAACAGGAAACAGAGCACAGATATTTAACTCTGATTAACTACTTAAACTGATTATCTAGCAAAATGTTGAATTCTTATCCCTAGTGTATTCACATAATGTCTGGAAGTGATACATTGGACAAACCACCTATCAGGCTTAACACAGCAGTTAAGAGGAAAATGGAAAGGCCATCACTACGTAAAACAAACTAGATAATACAGAGATCCCTTCCAGAAATTAAAAAACAATTCTATTAGCTTTCCCATACTATTGTGAATGACTAAAACAAAGAAACATCATTATCTGGATAGCACAATAAATCCACAGCCACCATTACATCCCTCAGGCTGTCCCAGATTGTTCAGGGTCTCAACAGGCATGGAGCCAGAGCTCAGAATACACTCCTTTCATCCCTAGAACATCTGTCACAACTACAAGACACCTTTGCTAAAACAAAGCTTCTGGAATCCCTAAATACCTAGACATAAGGGAACTGCTGCCCCAAGGGCAGCATCCAATCAGATTATCGTAGAGACAGCAGTACCAAACATAACTGTTTAAAGCCAACTTTAAAGTATCCATGAAAGACAAAGGTCACAATCAAATAAATAAATAACCACTTACCCCTCTCTGAAGATCAAAGCTTACCAAACACTCCACAGGACAGAACCTCCAAGTGAAAACCCATCCCTTGTGCTGGCCAGCCCTTAAATGTGGTTGGGCTGGCACAAGTGAGTTGCTCACACCTGTGCTCCTAGAGCTGGCTCCACCCCTTCTCCAGGTGCTCAATCACTGGTTCAGGCGGAGACTTAATGGTTCTCATAAAATGATATACAGGTGAACATGTACAATTTGCTTTTGTTGACTTGCCTCCCGTGGATCTAAGACCTCAGCTTGGTACAATGCTAGATCCAAGGACTGGTGACATACCTCTTGATCTATTTTTACTCTTTTTCTTTAGTAGCTATTGCCTAAATTTACCTCGAAGTACCTGTTAAGGAAATAACACCTGTGCTAAAGTAACCCAACCAGGTGGAACAAGACACTTCTCTGTTCCTTTAGCTGTAGGAATCACATTAGATACATGACATTCTTCCTCTCTTCAGCTGCTCTGTGTGCCAGAACATAACCCTGCCACAGGAGGAGATGGTTCTGCCTGCTTCTCCTTCAAAACAAAACTATCTGACCATCTGCCTTTCATCAGTTCTACTTCAGGGGTTTCATTTGTAATGGCTTCAGTAGAAAGTGCATAATTATTTCTGAAGATCAGTCTCTACTGCCTATCTCTGATCAGAAAAATATCCATACTAGGAGAAGCAGAACTTTCACAATTCCCTAGAAAATAATTAGGAGAGAGGTTGGACATCTTAAAATAGCCATAAAATCCTCACTGCAGGGAGGAATCAAAACAAGCGGCACAAGAGTTTGTCATTCTATCTCATTGCTGTCTTTTTAAATTTTGCTTTATTTTGCTGGCTAACAGTACTTCACATCTTAATTGCAATATTTTGATTCTAATGGTTAGAAGAAATATTTTATTACAGTCATATGATACCAACTGACCTGAACATAAAGAATGTCTGGAATCAAATGCTATTCCTTAAATTACTTGCTACACGAGATGCAGTTGGCTTTTCAGCTGTAAAGCTTGTGTAATCTGTTCTGCCTCAGTCAGCTCATTAATTCAAAGAACTTGAATTCAACTCTTAATACATCTTAATCATTTAGTGGCATAAAATGTTACACTTTGTATTGCTTTTAGAGAAGGTAATACAGACATGTTTATATATGCACATGAGCGCCCATGCAATTGTTTCATAGATACTTGATAGTACCCCTGCAACTTTCCAATTTAAGATAAGGTATGAATACTATTTCAGACACCTGAAAAGAGAAGTGTGAAAACAAATTATCTTTAATGGAAGCACCATCACACAGGTAAAATTCCCAAATTAACTGGAACTCAAAGCACACCGATATCCAAAATACACCCTATATACTTACCACAATTTTTAGAAAATGCATGTTATATTCATTTTCCATATATGCTTCATGGTTTCAACAGCTACGGACCCATAAGTTAGAAAACACACTGGAATGTACTGAGTTTATTAATCATATAAGGACAATACAATAGAAGTATTATTAAATTTCACTTCTTAGTTCTGAAACTGCTTATTTTTGAGAACTCTAGTCAGAAATTAAAGGGATAGAAAATTAGGAAGGAAAATTTCTTTTCTTTTATTCCATTGTACTTCTAACACAGTTGACTAAGTTTTCCCAAGTAATTCCTACAACGGTCTGCAAGGCAAATTACTATATTCACTTAACACTTGTAACTCCAGTACACATCTCTGCATGCTGATTGATCATTTCCCTCTGATGAAACTACTAGGTAAAACTCTTTATCTTTGATACTGAAGAGTTTTCTCACTGAGTTTAATGGAAAAGATACAATCTCTTATTGTGCCCAAAAAGGAATATCCTAATGTTGATGCAAACGGAACACTTTTAATTTCACTAAGTTTGTAAATATATCTCACAAGAGGTGTTTTTATTGCCTTTTGGGACACAGTTTGGAGATTTACTTTTCAGAAGCCCAAACAGAGCCAGACCTCAGCAATGCATTCAGGAAGACAAATACATCTTTGACACCTCAAAGAGCCCATAGGACAAGCAAAAAGTTCAACACACTACTTGATGGGAGGTATGCATTTTCATTTCTCCAAAAAAAAAGAAAGAAAAAAAAAAAACACCACACAGAGCCTTAGTCCGTTGCTTAACGGAGAAAGAGAACACATTAAGAGGAGGTCAACAGAGGCACTGCCGTCTGTAATTCACGTATTAGATCGCTAATTTCACGAGGCCGGGAACCGTCACAGGCCGCGGCATCCGCTACCACAGCGCCCTCTCGCGGGCGCAGCGCAGCGCACGCGGTCGCCTATCGCTGCAGGGCGCCGCGAGTGGGCTGTTCGCACTCGGCCGTTGCAGGTTCGGGTTCTGGCAGGCCGGAGCAGCGAAGGGGACGGGGGACGACGTGGCTCCCCCTGCGCCAAAACGCGACTCCTCCTTGGGGTTTGCTGGGCTCAGGCATTCCCTGCCCCTGCCGAGCAGCGTTTCACTATTCTGCTGGCGCTTAAGAGAAACCATCCAACAGCAAGACTGTGCCATGGGGCTGCTGTAGGGGCAGTTGGAACTCTTGTCCTGCTTGAGCACATCTCATTCCGAAGGGACCGACTGCTTTTTCAGTGGAAAGCAGCCAAGTGGGGCCGGGCAAGGAGGCTCTCACTGCCCTGCAGGGCCACACGTGATTGGGATGGACTTTGTGCCTTCCTTTGGGCACAGGCACAGACAGTGTGTGGCACCTGCTGCCAGCATGGGAAAGGATGAGGTGCTCACGCAGGAGCTGGGCCGCCTTCACGACATCCCACTCTACAAATCCTTTGTGGCAGGTTGGCCACAGGTGGAGGCATTCCAAGCCCGGCACGATGACCTGCTCATCGCTACGTACCCCAAGTCTGGTAAGTGGCTCCAGGTGAGATGGGGAGGAGAAGGATGGTGCACAACTGGGTAGTTCAGAGCCCCTACACTGCTGCCCCTGTAATGCTACCCGTGGGCTGCAGGCACAACATGGCTGAGCGAGATCCTGGATGCGATCTACCATGATGGCGACTTGGAGAAGTGTCGGCGGGATGCTATCTATAACCGGGTGCCCTTCCTGGAGATGAAGGCCCCTGGGATGCTGAGCGGTGAGCATCTGAGGGCTGTGCAGGGAAGGAGCAGTGCTGGGGCGGGTGTAGGGTCAGGGCACTGAGCCTCCATTCTGCAGGTGTTGAACAGCTGGAGAAAACCCCATCCCCACGGCTGGTGAAGACCCACCTGCCAGTTCACCTCCTCCCGGCCTCCTTCCAGGAGAAGGACTGCAAGGTAATGCCATGAAGCAGCTCCCAGTCTCTCTCCCCGTGGGGCAGAAGTGAGGGGACACCGCTCTTGCCCCCCCAACCAAAACCTCGGCTCCCTCCAGGTGATCTATATGGCTCGCAATGCCAAGGATGTCGTAGTCTCCTACTACTACTTCTACCAGATGGCCAAGATCCACCCTGATCCTGGCACACTGAGCGAGTTCCTGCAGGCATTCATGGATGGAAAAGGTAGGGGCTGAACTCCCAGACTACCCCAATAAATGCCAGTGAGGAGGGCATCCTTTGCTGTGCCATTTTTCAGCTAACCCTACCCACATCCTGCAGTGGCCTATGGCTCCTGGTACAAGCACGTGAAGGGCTGGTGGGAGAAGAGGCACGAGAAGCGGCTTCTCTACCTCTTCTATGAGGATATGAAGAAGGTGAGGGTAATCTGGAGGGAGGGTCTGGAGCCTACCTCTGCTGCCCCAAGCCATTTCTGAGGGAGTGCCAGCAGCAAGCATCCCCACTCCTGCTGCTCCTCAGGACCCATGGAGAGAGGTTCAGAAGATCCTGCAGTTCCTGGGCAAGGAGGTGGCAGAGGAGACGGTGGCAAGGATCTTCCACCACACCTCCTTCCAGGAGATGAAGAAGAACCCTACTGCCAACTATGAGACAATGCCCACTACACCGATGGACCACAGCCTCTCCCCATTCATGCAGAAAGGTGGCTTTTGGCTTGTGGTGCCTGGCACCCCAGGGCACACTGCAGCCCTCATCTGTGGATGCAGATATGTGGAGGGGCAGGTTTTGCCTCACGTGCTTTCCTACCCCCTCAGGCATCTCCAGTGACTGGGCGAATCACTTCACTGTGGCCCAGAATGAGCGCTTTGACCAGCACTACCAGCAGCACATGGCAGGCTCGGATCTCTGCTTCCAGTTGGAGGCATGAGGGGTGCACATCTTGGGGGCTCTGCACCCAGTGAGGAGCAGGTACTGGATTCCTGCTGCAGCAGTGCCAGTCTGGGGCACACTACCATTCATTTTTATTCCTGTAATAAATTGCAATAGACAGAGTGTTGCCAAGAAGTTAAACAACTTCTCTGTGAGTGGAAAAACCCCAAAGCAGCCAGAAGGTGCCCACTGCCCCACAGTGCCTCTTTGCCTAGACGTGTTTATGCCTCTGAATTGCTGCAGATTGCTTTGCAGAGTGGGCAGTGGCAGGGCAGAAATATCCATTGCCATTGCACCAGCCCCAGGTTTGCAGGGCAAAGGCAAGAGGAAACAACGCATGCCCCACTCACACTCTAGCACCCACTCACTGGCACAGTGGCATGGGATCATCCCTGCTCACCCACAGGTGCAATGCTTCTGCTCAGGCATCACTAGGGTAACCTGGTCTCCACCCCCATTGGCATCAAGGATTTGCTCTGGAGCCCCAAATCTCCCATCTATGCCATTTCCAGCTTTGGTTTTATGAGTTTCCAAAATAGTGAATTTCGGTGCTGAGGAACATCTCCACGTGTCTCCAGCTGCTGGCGTTGCCAAAAAGATGTGCAACCTCCCTCCCAGCACAGCGCGTCTCCCTTAAATTCTTTTCCCAGCAGTGCTCTGGCTGCTGCAGGCACTGCTCTTTTGCAACCGTGCAAACTTTAGACCCGCCTTCTGGGCACGAGCCTAAGTGCCGTGTCTCAGCAGTGAGCCCCATGCAAGTGACACCCTTCCCCAGCTCCATTTAGGATCGGGTGCTGAGCTTGGCACTGCCCATCATAGACGCTGGACTCACCCCTCAACCTGCTGTCGGCTCCAGACCCCGCACGCCTTTTCCCTCCCCCAGTGACGTCCCTATTCCCAAGCACCACCCCCCGCCTCCATCTTCTGTGTGGGGAAAGGAAAATAAAGCCCCCCGTGTCTGCTGGCTGAGCATCCCTGCTCCTCGCGTCACACTGCAGCAGGTAATGAGCAGCCCCCAACCAGCCTCTGAAACGCTAAGCCTGAAGACCGGAGGGGCTCAGGAGGGGGGGAATCTGGTTTCCCTGCCAGCTGCAGAGTGTTGGCTAGCCACTTGCTGGTCAATCCCTGCAAGGCCAGCTTTGCGGGGTGGTGCAGGCCCTAAGAAGTGGATTTGGGAATCTCTACGATTGCACAAGGGATCTAGAGACAGGGGCAAATCTTTGGTTTGCCAGATGCATTGGTGTGTCATGCCACCCACACCAACACCAGGAAAAGGACAAGTTATCCTTCAGGATCTGCCCTTTGCCCAAGGGACAGCACTCACTTTTCTCAGAACTCTTCTCCTGCTGCCCCAAAAGCTGATGCCAGACAGGACATGGGCTTTTTCACCTCTTGGCATCCTCTTTTTCCCTACCTTTGGCACCAAAATTCAGGGGCTCCCAATATACCTCACAGGAGGCAGGGGCCACTTCCCAGGACACCAGCACCATGGGTTTCCTCCCATGGCCAGGACCGGTGAGCTCAGCAGGAATTTCAGGGCCTGAACAGGGATGAGGTGGCCCTATGACGACCCCACTGCTATCCTGCGTCCCCTGTCCCCATCAGGATGAGCACAGTGGATGCCTATCTGCGCCAGCCCTGGAGCACTGTGCATGCCATCCCCATGGTTAGTGCCTTTGCTCAGAACTGGGAGAGAGTGGATAACTTCCAGAGCCGCCCTGATGACATTGTAGTGGCCACCTTCCCCAAGTCTGGTGAGCAGCCTCAGCACGGGAGAGGGGCTCTGCATTGGAAGAGTCGAGGTGCATTTGGGTGCCTGTGATGGGTTTAGGCGGGAACAGCACCAGCCAGACCCTTGTCCCTTCCATCCCAGGCACCACCTGGATCAGCGAGATCGTGGACATGATCCTTCAAGGTGGTGACCCCAAGAAGTGCAAGCGGGATGCCATCGTCAACCGGGTGCCCATGCTGGAGTTTGCTGCCCCCGGGCAGATGCCAGCAGGTAGTGGGCTTTGGGCAGAGGTAACCCCCAGGTTGGAGGGGCCACATTGGCCAAAAAGAGTGGGAGCAGGTTGTGCTTTTCAGGTGTACCCTGCTAGTAGTGGGAGTGCTTTTTGTAGGCACAGAGCAACTGGAAGACATGCCATCCCCTCGTGTCATCAAGACTCATATCCCAGCTGCCATCTTACCCAAAACTTTCTGGGACAAAGGCTGCAAGGTAACAAAGTTGGAGGGGACATAACAGGAGGGACTCTGCAAACTAAGGGTGTGACCAGCCCTACTAGTACCTTGCAAATCCCCATGCACCACCAACACCAGCCCCTCTGCAGATGATCTATGTGGGTCGCAATGCCAAGGATGTGGCTGTCTCCTACTACCACTTTGACCTGATGAACAAGCTACACCCTCACCCAGGGACATGGGACCAGTACCTGGAGGCTTTCATGGCCGGCAAAGGTGGGGGGGGGACCCATGGGAGCAAATGGGGACACTGAGGATGCTGCCATGTGGTGACATCCATGGCCACTCTCCCCACACAGTGGCCTATGGTTCTTGGTTTGACCACGTGCGGGGCTACTGGGAGCGCCGGCAGGAGCACCCCATCCTCTACCTCTTCTATGAGGACATGAAGGAGGTGAGGGACTGGGGCTGATGGTGGGGCTGAGGCTTGGTGGTACTGGGGCTGAGCACCAGCCCTTGCCTCAGGATCTCTGCCAGGAGATTGCCAAGGTGGCCCAGTTCCTGGGGTGCGAGCTGACCGAGGTGGCACTGGAGGCCATTGCCCATCACACATCCTTTGAGGCCATGCGGGACAATCCCAGCACCAACTACAGCGTTGTGCCCTCCCACCTCATGGACCAGGGTGTCTCTCCCTTCATGCGCAAAGGTGAGCAGCCCCAGAGGGCTCCCAGGCCCCTTATCCCCTCTGGCCCTGCTCAGCCCCTTCTCACCCCCCCAGGCATCACCGGTGACTGGAAGAACCACTTCACCGTGGCCCAGAGTGCACACTTTGACCAGTACTATGCGCAGAAGATGGCAGGCACCGACCTGTGCTTTCGCACACACATCTGAGATGCCTTCTCCTGTCCTCATTCCATAGCCCCATATTGCCTACCCACGCCCACAGGACCACCTGAGCAACACCATGGGCTCTTTCCCCTTTCTTGGTGCTGCTGGAGAGAAATAAAGTGTCCTTGCTGAGCCCACTCTGTGTGCTGCTGCATCGCTGCGCTTGCCTCATCCCTGACACACCCATGATCACTCCTCAGACTGGGGCCACTGAGTTCAGTACCCATGAACTCTGAACTTCCCATGCGCTTGCTCCTCCCTCCTGGCACACAGACTGCTGACAAACATCTCCTCCCACACACACTCCGTCCTCCTCCCTTCTATTTCAGAGCTTCCACTGGACCTGAGCCTCCCTGTCCTCTGCCGCTACCTTCCCTGTGCCACCCTCCTGGTGTCACCATCCTGTTGCTCTCCTGCTGTCACCGTCCTTGTGCAGAACGCACGCTGCCAGGTGAGGCTTCCTGCCTACACTCAGCCCCTTGGACTGCGGGTGCCTCATGGGACCAAGTGGGCAGGGCTGCTCAAAGACTTGCGGGACCCAGCCCGTGGCATGACATGGGGTTTGGGCTCTGCAGGCGTGCATGCTGCACCCCAAAACCTCCTCCACGGATGGGAGCTGCTGCAGGATGTTCCCAGTCCTTATCTCCCTGCTTCCCTCCCTAGATGGGAGGAGAGGGGTGGTGCTAGGGGATTCTACTACCCAGGACACCCTTGGGGCTCCACTCCCTGTTCTAGAGGTTGCAACTCCCCAGCTGTGCATGCAGACTGGTACCCACAGGCGAGGAGGACAAGGGGGTCCTAGGCTGCTCCCCCAAGAAGCTGCCTCCCATGAGTCCTCCCTTGTCCCCATCAGGATGGCCACAGTGGACAGATACCTGCGCCAGCCCTGGAGCATGGTGCATGACATCCCCATGGTCTACGCCTTTGCCCCAAACTGGGAACGGGTGGACAACTTCCAGAGCCGCCCTGAAGACATTGTGGTGGCCACCTTCCCCAAGTCTGGTGAGCAGCCCAAACCCCACCAGGTGTGGTGGTCCTGGGGGCATGTGGCATATCCAGGACCTGCTATCTTGGGAAGGTGCATGTGGGCTTTCCTTTCATCCCACAGTACTCATTTGGAGTATGGGGACTTTGGTGGTGCTGAGAGTCTCTTCAGTACCTTCCCCAATGGGCCAATTTCCCCAGGCACCACCTGGGTCAGTGAGATTGTGGACATGATCCTGCAAGGTGGCGACCCTGAGAAGTGCAAACGGGATGCCATCACCAAGCGGGTACCTATGTTGGAATTTGCTGCCCCTGGGGAGATGCCAGCAGGTAGGGGGGAAGGGCTCAGCTTGGGACACCCCACATGGGGCTGTGCCCAGAGGCACACCAGGAAAATCCTTTGTGGTCCCCAGGAACAGAGGTGCTAGCTACCATGCCCTCACCCCGTGTGGTCAAGAGCCACCTGCCTGCACATATCCTGCCCAAATCCTTCTGGGACAATGGTTGCAAGGTAGCCCCCAACCTCGGTCTCCTCATCACTGCGTGTGGTGTTCAGAGCCCCAAGGGATGAGAGCATCCTCACCACTGTGGAATCAGGTGCTGTCACCAGCCTCTTCCACAGATAATCTATGTGGGTCGCAATGCCAAGGACGTGGCTGTCTCCTTCTACCACTTTGACCTGATGAACAAGTTTGAACAACACCCAGGAACATGGGATCAGTACCTGGAAGCTTTCATGGCTGGCAAAGGTGGGGGAAACCCATGGGAGCAAATGGGGACGGTGAGGGTGCTGCCATGCACCGCCATGGTTGCTCTGGTTGCTCTCCTCACACAGTGGCCTATGGTTCTTGGTTTGACCACGTGCGGGGCTACTGGGAGCGCCGGCAGGAGCACCCCATCCTCTACCTCTTCTATGAGGACATGAAGGAGGTGAGGGACTGGAGTTGATGGTGGGGCTGAGGTCTGGTGATACTGGGGCTGAGCACCAGCCCTTGCCTCAGGATCTCCGCCGGGAGATTGCCAAGGTGGCCCAGTTCCTGGGGTGCGAGCTGACCGAGGTGGCACTGGAGGCCATTGCCCATCACACATCCTTTGAGGCCATGCGGGACAATCCCAGCACCAACTACAGCACTGTGCCCTCCCACCTCATGGACCAGGGCGTCTCTCCCTTCATGCGCAAAGGTGAGCAACCTCAGTGGGTTCCCAGACTCCCCAGCTCCTCTGGCCCTGCTCAGCCCCTTCTCACCCCCCCAGGCATCACCGGTGACTGGAAGAACCACTTCACCGTGGCCCAGAGTGCACACTTTGACCAGTACTATGCGCAGAAGATGGCAGGCACCGACCTGCGCTTCCGCACAGAAATCTGAGTCTCACACACCTTCAGATTTCTGCTTTTGCAAAAATAAAAGAGTTTCACTTCTGCCTTCCCACTGTCTCCCCAGCATCATTTCACACTCATTTGATATCATCTGCATCACTGTGTTTGTTGATCATCACCCACTAGGACACACATCTAGCTGTGCACACACAGATTTCTGGGGGGAGGAATAAATAAGTCAGAGATGTGTTTCCATTACATGGGAAACAAATATGTTTTCCGTCCCCTGTGCACTTCTCTGCTGCCACCCTGCACACAGTAGTCCTGTGTCCACCATCTTCATCCTCTTATATCAATCAGCAGGTGCTGATGAAAAGCCCCCACTGAGGTCACACAGCAGCTGAGCTATGGGAAAGAGGCATGGTAAGTGGGATGGGACGAAAAAATATCCCTGGCACTGCCAAGACAGAGTTGTATTCGTGTTTACTGTCAGGGACCTGGAACATCCACTGCTGCTGTCTCTCTGAAGGAATCCCTCTGAAGGTGTGATTTCTTTCTCAGATGCAGGTGAAGTGATCCGAGGCATTCAAAAATGACATTCTGGTTTTACTGGGTGTTGCTTGTTTTGTTCTTATGCCCTTTATTTCTTACAACAACACAACCACCAGTCTTTCATTCACATTCCCTGACACTCCACAGGCATTCCTCAGGCCATCACCCCCTGGCCATGTATTTCTGTGCTGAAGAAATCTGTATGAATGCTGGATTGCTTCTGGCAGTCCCTCTCTCAGTCCCTCAGCACCACAACATGACGACTGGCTGCAGGAATTTCCTTTCATTTCTATTCCCGCTGCTTCCAGAAAACACCACTGACTGCTTTTGCCAGACTGCTCCAACGCGCATGCAAATGACTTGGTTTTAATTTGTTCCAGGCACTTCCTGTCCTCTACAAACCCTTTGCATGCCTGTGGTGATACAAAGCCAGGCCTTGCAACATCCCCTCCTCTTCCCTTCCTCTTGCTTCTCAAGTGGCACGTTGCACCCACATCAGCAGAAAAAAAAATTCTCTCTTTTGTAATTCCCCCTATACAGAGATGGGCTCTGCTCTGCCTCCAGACTGCTTTCTTAGACTACAAAGCCTGCAGGTGGATAAAGTATGGCATCAGAGATAGGTACAATTGGTGAATTTGGTCAAAATTTAGCAGAGATCTCATTTGTTTTTCATTCTCCTGTGGAGCTACTAATATATAAATGCATTATGAAATGTGAGTAAATTCCTGCATGGCTCAAAGCAATGGCTGCTGCACACCCATTGCCAGAGCCCATGACAGCCTGGTCTTTGCCTGATTGCTCTGTGGGACAACTCCCTGCTGAGTCCAAACTTCACACACTAAAATCAATCACCTCTGAGCTGACCTGGCTCAGGGAAAGCTCTGACACAGACAGGGCTGAAAAGGCACTGGATGGCTTCCATCACACCTACACCCTCCCATTTGCAGATCCAGTGGTCCCTGTGGCACATAACAGTCCTGCAGGAGGGCTGACACCAGTCTCCCCTAGCAGGATGCAGCACTGACTGTACACAAAGCTTGGACTGGATCCTTTCTCATTTTGGTTTTTTTTTCCCTTTGCAGAGTGGAAAGGCCCAAGCATGAGCTATCCCATTGTCTGTATACTTACATGCAAAGGTGTCCATGCAGCATCTGAGCAGCAGTGGAGAGAATTAAAAAATCTGAAACTAGACAAGGAAATATTGTAAGCATAGGTACATTTTGTCCTCTTGCAATGCTGCGATAAAGTCACAAGCTGGCTGAGAAATGGCATTATGGTACAGGTCCCAGCTCATCACCTTTTGCTGGAGTTTCCTTCTTACATTTGGGGATTGCAAGGGCATCAGTTTTCTACTGCAGACAACGTGTTGCTCCATCTAACTTCCCATCTCAACCCGCACTTGGGGATGAAACAACCTCCAAACAACCTCAGTCTTCTCCACCCACACATTGCCCTCTCTTTGAAACACTTGTCTTTTACCACTCAAGACTTCCAAGTTCCTGTTTAGCCCCAAGACTGCTTTCTTAAAATAACAGATAGGAAACATGCTGTAATTTGGTGCTTCTCAGGGCAAATGCCTCCCTTCTGAGCTCAGGTGCTGAATTTTTGAGGTGCCGGTGGTCATCGAGGCTTACTTGCTGTCACATTTGGGTGGATGTGGAAGATGTGGAAGACATTTTTGTACCTGTGTGTGAAAAACATGAGGCCGGATGCCCTACCCTTTGTGTAATTAAACTTGAGTAACCTACAGCTATTAGAGATCAGAGGTTGCATCAGCCATTATGCTGAGTAATGCTAGATATGTAAAATGCAGGCACCTAATACCATTCACTTTCTTCAGCTTACTTTTCTTTTGTTTGCTAGATTTCATCTTCAAATCCTCTTAAAGCTTATCTTTTCTGCATTAAGAGTAATGTGAGCACCACCTTTAAAACATGTCCTTTTAAATCCTACCCTTAAAGGAAGGCTTTAACCCTCTGGTTCCTCTGGCAATAGCTCTCAACTTCTACAGAAGAATTTGTTACTGGGAGTTTAGAAACAAAATCTTACAAAATTCAGCACTATGTTGGTAAAGATGGTGAAGATGTAGAGTGCAAGATATATGAGGAGTGGATGAGGTCCCTGGGTTTGCTCAGCCCAGAGCAGAGGAAGCTGAGGGGAGACCTCATGGCAGCTACAGCTCCTCACAGGGAGCGGAGGGGCAGCACTGAGCTCTGCTCTCTGTGACAGTGACAGGACCCGAGGGAACAGCATGGAGCTGTGTCAGGGGAGGGCCAGAAGAGTGTTAGGGAAAGGCTCTGCAACAGAAGGCAATGGACATGGAACAGGGTGCCCAGAGAGTGGGCACAGCCCCGGGCTGCTGGAGTGCAGGGAGTATTTGGGCAACACTCTCGGACATAGGGTTTGGGTTTTGGGTGGTCCTGTGTGGAGCCAGGGGTTGAAATCAGCGATCCTTGCAGACCACTTCCAACTCAGGATATTGTATGATTCTATGATTCTCAACTGAGTTTGCAACTCCAAGCATCAGTACAGATGGGGGATGAGTGGATTGAGAGCAGTCTGGAAAGCCAACCATATCCTGGGCTGCATCAGAAGAAGTATGTCCATCAGGGTGAGGGAGGCTATTGTTATCCTCTACTCCACTCGTATGACTCCACCTGCAAGGAGTAATGGTTTTAAGCTAAAGGAGGGCAGATACAGATTAGATGTAAGGAAAACATTATTCACTGTGAGGGTTTTGAGGCACTGGCACAGAGAGCCGGTGGATGTCCATCCCTGGGCCAGGCTGAATAGGGCCCTGGGCAGCCTGATGTGGTGTGTAGCAACCAGCCCACAGCAGAGAGTTGGAACTGGGTGGGCTTTGAGGTCCCTTCCAATCCAAGCCATTATCTGATTCTACAATTGTGGAGAAACTACTGGAGGTGAAGCCAATTACTGTCACAACATGCTGCATGCTGGTATAATTGCCCCAAACAGAGGGTTTAGAAAGTTTATCTATTACAGACAAAATTTAAGAAAAATACAGAGATGTATCTTCTATAGTTTCCAGTTAGTAACATTTGCCTCAACTTTTGGAACCAAGTGCCATTTACAGTTCTTAACAGCAAGGCTAACATGCAACTCTTGAAAAGCTTTGCAAACAAAGTACAAGATGCTCTTTGTTCCAGTTTGTGAGTCTATTATATAACAAACCATTTTTTTATACCAGCTAGGACCTTAATGGGAGCAAAAAATATTTTTAGCCTCAGAAACCATATCTCTGAGCTACAGGATGCAAATCCTTCTGAGAATCTGGCTCTGTAGCAACATCACAATATTCCCTAGCACAGAGAAGACCATCCAAACTATTAGATTACCGAAGTACAACAAAGCAACGAATAATCCTGGAAGACATGCCCCCTTATGATCATCCCATATTGTATTACTCCCTCCTATTGAAAACACATATTCAGGGTGAAACTTATTTAAAGTCCTGCCCAGTGCCAAACCTTGCCAGAGCTGCCCAGGCTCAGAGCAGGTGAGCTGCAACACACAGAAGCAAACCAGCACAGCACATTGCATCGTATGAACCAAAGCACGCTGATGATTTTGCACCTCAGAAGGCTTTTCGAGGTAAGAGATTTGCTGCATGGCATTGCCCCTTTCAACCTGCTGAACCACATTAGATTGAGCATACCATGTTCTGTCCCATTTTGATTCCTAGTGATGAAAAGCTCCTTTCAGGACACAGTTCTTAAATTTCCAAAAGAGAGACAGCCCAGAAGATGCAGGTTGCAACTCAAGAAGCACTTCTGGCAGCCAGGAAGTAGTCAGATCCGCAGTTAGATATCCGAACCAAGCCTACAATATGACCAGTGTGTTGCTGATGTGCCCCAGACAGCAGCAATGACCCTTCAGCACCAGAACTGCCGTGATTTATATTGTTTAAACAGTGTAAAAGAGTTGAGATGGCTTACTGATGCCTACAGTATCATTTTTTTCCTGTTAGTCCCACCACAGGTGTCCATCCAGCTTGTGTAGCCCTGGGTTCTTGCCCCAAGTCTGGTCATATCCTCATGCACGCAGTTCCTGCAGCAACAGCCTGCTGTTGGCTCGGCAGAACCCTGTGCATATTCTGGGAATAAATAATAAAAAATATCTTTTACATACATAATTTGTACCATAAAAGGTAGAAACATTAAAGTATGCAGGCATCATGGATGTCATCATGGCTGTTGCAATTGAAAACAGGCCTCAAGGCAAATATGGCTGTACATTCTTCAGCAAATTTCAGTATTCCTTCAGTGTTTACAGAGATACCACTTATTTTCTCATAGTTACCCATCTGCCAGCACTTACTGACTAATATAGCACATATAGTAGAAGAAAATCCCTATTATTTGCTTTCATGTCCTCAGTAAGGATTTTATCCCTCAGGGAGAAACTAAAAAAGTATAATAAACAAAGAATTAAATTATTGTGCAAATAGATAGGTCTGAGGGAAGCAGGGACTTCTGACAGTGCTGGGACTGCTGCCACCCCTACCTAGGGAAAAGAGTACCCTCAGGAGGAAGTTAACGGTATAAAACAGAAAGGGAAAAGCAAATCACCAAGCATCCTTTCCTGTCCTTGGTTCAGATACCACATAGGTTTGAAAGGCCCTGCTCAAGCAGCAGCAGACTCTCACAGACAACACAGAGGTGGAGTGCTCCCAGCTGGAAGAGAAAGCTGCCAGGCTATCCAGCCGTCAATCCTGCCATGGCCACAAAAGCCACCAGCTCCAAGAAATGCCTCCAGCTTCTTGCTTTCTACGTGGCTCTGGTAGCACCTGTCTTCTGTGGGAATGTGCTGGTCTGGCCAACAGAGGGCAGCCACTGGCTAAACGTGAAGATGGTTATTCGGGAGCTCATCCGCCGTGGGCACAGTGTCACCATCCTCGTGTCCAATGCTTCCCTCTTCATTCAGCCAAAGGCTGAGACCACTGAGAAGTTTGAGGTTTTTAACGTGCCCTTCAAGAAAGACACCATTGCAAACCTGATTGAGGAGATTGTGGCATTGTGGCTGAACAACAGGCCAACAGCCTCGACCTTCTGGCAGTTTTACAGGGAGCTGGGGAAACTGTCCAAAAGCTGGCACCAGGTCAACCAGCAGATGTGTGATGCAGTGCTGACTAACCGGGAGCTGATGGCTCATCTACAGGGCTCTGGTTATGACATGCTGCTGTCAGACCCAGTTACTCTCTGTGGGGACCTCGTAGCTCTCAAGCTGGCACTGCCCTTCGTGTACTCCCTGCGCTTCTCTCCAGCCTCAACTGTCGAGAGGCACTGTGGCAAAATCCCAGCCCCACCATCCTACATACCTGCAGCCCTGTCTGAGCTCACTGACCACATGTCCTTTGGCGAGAGAATTAAAAATATCCTGTCTTATCATTTGCAAGACTACATTTTCCAGAGCTACTGGGGAGAATGGGACATCTACTACAGCAAGATCTTAGGTAAGCTGTTGCTACATAGCTTTTCATCACTCAGCCTCCCATACTATGAGTTACAGAGCTGGAGGCATAGGGAAGGCCTGGAGGGGGAAGCAATCAACACATGGCCACCAACGCATTTTTCATTGTGTCAATATATGAAAAAGTGAGTAAGCCACCAGTGAAAGAGTCAGGCAGCTGAGGTTCAGGTTGGATATTAGGAAAAATTTCTTCTTAGAAAGAGTGGTGAGACATGGGCACAGGCTACCCAGGGAGGTGGTACAGTCATCACAGAGATGTGGCACTGAGGGACATGGTTCATGGGTATGGTGAGAGTGGGCTGGAGGTTGGACTGCATGATCTTAGAAATCTTTTCCAACCTTAATGATTCTGTGATTCTTTGACCTCTTACATACGGCATGTAATGGCAGTCTGAAACAGTAGGCCAGAGTGATTTCAGAGACCAAAATAATTAATATCATCTACAAAACAGAAGCCCCATTTCTCTGGAGATCGTGCTTCAATCTAACCAGGCAATCCTTACAGTCTTACCTCAACATTCGCCAAACTGCCCAAGTCAAGTACGTTTGTATCAACTGCACCCACCTGTGTCAGGATGCTATGCTGGCATGGTACTGTGTGAAGACAGGAATCTGCAGGCATCCCAACTGAGGGATTTGCCATTATTAATTCTAATGTAGAGTCTTAAGAAACTTCCCTAGCACAGAGCACTCTCAGCAAGGAGAGCTCAGCTCATACTTCTTCCCCTCCCATGCTCACACTGAAAGCACATAACAGGACTGCTTTCTTGGGGCAGAGCATCACAACTAAGTGAGCTACAAGTCAGCCTTGACCCTCAATAACAACTGAGGTGCACTGTGCTTTTGTAATAGACTTCACTTACATCACTGGTAATGAAAACCAATCCTTTCTAAATACAACTTGTTTTGTACAAACAGACCTTCCACCTACAAGGGAACAATAAAAATAACAAGCCTTCCTCAAAGGCTTTTGCTCTGGACTCTTCTGAGCAAATACATCGAAGAATGTGCTTGGGTAAGTACACAATCAACACGATATGTTTACTGAGCTCACACCAACCCTGTGTAACAGGGCACCTCCAAGTCTCCCAGGACACAATCTGCCTGTATGCTGCAGGACTCCACAAGCATAGCAAGCTCTTGTCATGTGTGCAGCAGACAGGAGCCTCAGCTCAGCTTCTCAGGGCCTGACCACTACTTTCACTTCCCCTGCATGCTGGAAAGGATGCTGTGGGCAGCACAGGACTCATAGCAAATGCTCCGCCCAACGTCATGATTGGGAGAACAGAACTAGGCAGGAGCACAATGATTATTTCTGGCACAGTGAAGAAGTCTCACATCATTTCTTACCTGGAAATCATAAGTATGGCTGTAAATAAAGCAGCTTAGCAGAGCTTCTGGTTCTACTTACAGTGTATTACTGGGACCTGGTGGCAGACAGGACAGCCCATGGCCATCAACTTGCAGACCCAGCCTCCTTCCAGGACAGCTCTGGAGGAGGAAAGTTCATGTGAGGACAGCCTTATTCTGACACAGAAGTTGCTTGCTTCACCTTGTCATCTCATCTACATGGAGATCAGCTTGCCAGCTGCAACCCTGGATCACCATGCTAAGTGTACTGCAAACAGATGCTCAGTGGCTTCACAAAGCAAAAAGATGCACACACAGTGGGTGAACATTTCTCTGAACATCACTTGCCACTGAAGCTGCCAGATGAATGTCAAAGTCACCTCTTGTACCAAATATAACACAGATTATAGCTAGATAGGCACAAGAGCCAGGACAGCTCAGAAAGACAACCCTCACACTCTCTGCATTGCTTCAAAGGAAACCCATTCCAACTTCATCAAGTCACTGACCACCAGATGGAGCCAACTGGTTCCAGTCACCTTTTCCCTGAGAAAACATGCCATTATCCACGACGGGATTTTGCACCAGCTACCTTGGCTCTTTGCCTTGCAGTGTCATGCAGGCCCAGCCCATTTTGGTGTGCTCTGCTGCTCCCAAGGAAGCAAGGCCACTGAAGCACTGAGAAGCACTGTAAATCATGTCAGGAAAGAAGGTGGCTGTGCTGTGGCTGCTGGCAGTGCTGGGCTCTGTGTCTGGTGGGAAGGTGTTGGTCTGGCCAGTTGACAACAGCCACTGGCTCAACATGGAGTATATCCTGCACGAGCTTGTAGCCCGGGGCCATGAGGTGACTGTGCTGCTGCCTTCGTGCTTTCTTATCCTAAATGGCACCGAGCCCTCACCTTTCCAATTTGAGATGGTCGAGGTGCCAATCAGCAAAAGTGAGATGGCTGCCGCAATGGATGAAGGTTTCTATTTTTGGTTCTATGAGGAGAGAAGGTTACCTTTCTGGGAAAGTTTTTACAAGATGATTGATCTGCTACGCAAGTTCGAGAATATAACCAGAACCATTTGTGACGGAGTTGTGAAGAACAAGGTGCTGCTGGAAAGGCTGAGGGCATCCGCCTTTGATGTCCTCCTGGCAGACCCACTGATGCCCAGCGGGGAGCTGTTTGCGGAGAAGCTGGGTATCCCTTTGATATACACCATACGGTTTTCCATGGGCAACACAGTGGAGCGGCTCTGCGGGGGACTCCCAGCTCCTCCTTCCTATGTGCCAGCCAGCCTAAGCTCCCTAACAGACCAGATGACCTACACACAGAGGATAAAAAACTTGTTCTCCTATGCTCTGCAGGACTTCGTATACCATTACATTCTCTGGGGACATTGGAATCAATACTACAGTGACATTTTAGGTAAGGCTGCTCTTACTTGCAGAGATTACACATGCTGTACACGGTGGTCTGCAAACCCAGAGCATTGGTGCTAAGGTAGAAGTTAGCACCAGTCCTGAATTTCTTTCCTTCAACATATTTGTGTCACAGCAAACAACCCAGGCAAGAACAAACATTACCTGTTTCTAGCTACAGCTAAAACCATACAGGTACTTTTAACACAGGCAAACCTATCAAATGCTAATACCACTTGAAACAGCCTGTATGTCAAATGAAACAGACACAAAGAAGAAAAGAATACCACTGCATTTCTACCAAACGCTACTACTGAACTAAAATTTCTAAAGAAGAAAGCTATACATTTTTTAGAAGGCTATCTACCAAAGTTACCTCTTTTTCCCTTCGTAACACAATCACTCCTTAGCTCTCCTCAGAATGAAGATAAAACAGGTTCCCTAGGTCTTTATGGGTTTGGAAGAGCAGCTGTCCTTGCAGTCTAAGAAGACTGCAATGCACTGAGTCTTAATGGCCAGTGATACAATTCCCCCAGCAGCAAGGAAAAAAAGTATTTGGCTTTTTTGAAGGTATCTTAAAGAAGCATTTGGAGTTGCTTACTTGTTTATCTAATAACAACTGCAGAACTAATTTTGAAGTTTTGTTTTAAAGAGTTCTTGTCATGATTAGTAGGAAATAGGATAATCTTCATTCATTAATTAAGAAAATTATTTATTTATTTTGTGGTGGGGGAGAAGGAATTAAAAGGTTGTTATTTCCATGTGAAGATTTAAGTGCCTTTATTTATTTTTCAGATCTGTAGTAGTGTGTGGTTTTGTTGAGAAAGCAAAGTTGGCAGGAAGTCTTACTACTGGAGTACTTAGCTACATATTTATTTGTGTTGCTTATCAAGTTTGGCAGCAGCTAGAAAGCTTTGTGCTGGAAGCAATGCACTGCTGAACCTAGGCTGTGTCAGCTTCAGGCTGCCTGAAGTGAGTGATTTATTGGGTTTTCTAATAGTCATAAAATGTGTCCATTAGCACTTAAGCTTATACATACAAACTCTATGTAAGCCTACTTTGTCTTCTCTCTGACTGCAGTCTGCTGTATCTCCTGTCTGAGCTGTATCAGTCCAGTGAGGGTCCCATGTAGTGGTGTGCTGGGCTCCTGGAGGAGTGCCCAGGCCCTACTTCAACTCAGCATAAGCCTCATCCTCCTGCTCAGGAAAGAGCAGATGCCTGTTCTTCTCCATTTACACATCGGTGGCACAAGGCATCTTTGAGTTATCTGTGGGATTGCTTTCAGGAAGGGAAATTAGGATTCTTGTGTTGGACTGCCCTGAACAGTGAGGGGCAAAGAAGGTGAGCAAAACCCAAGCTCTCCATTTCCTCCTTTTTCTTCCATGGAAAGGCCTTGATGCTGTGATGACCTCTGTCAGGACTGTCCCCTTCCAGTAATGAGCCCACAGCATCTGGTAATGTTGAATACAGGATGAGAGCACACTGCAGATTTGTTGTGAATCACTACAGGATGTTGCATCTGCAGGTAGTAAAACAGGAGATTAAAACTGTAACCAGACATACAGGCAGTTTGGTTCTTAAAGGGCAAAGAAGAAAATGTAGGCTGTAAGACTGAGCTCCTTGGGCTCTCCTAGCCTGAACTCCTGATGTGCACAGGGATGTGTACCTTGGAGATCTGGCAGCAGGGTAAGGGCTTCTGGGCCTCACATGCTGCAGGCTGCACTTTTTGGTAAGCAGAAACAGGATTTGCCTTCATTTCCAGAAGTTGGCTGCAGATTTGCAGATTCCAGAACGGGATTTACTGCTTGCCCAGCCCTCCTACCGGTGGCGTTATGTGTACTGACATGCCCTCTTGCCAAGGCTGGCACCAAGTGAATCTCACTTTTACTGGCTGTTTCCACAGTTGTTTGCACACTAAAGTAGTGTAACTGCTTCAAGCATGCTCAGACTGGAGTTGTGCGTGGACTGCTGAGAGGATGGGGCAAAGATTCTCCTGGCTACTCTGGACCTTTGCGTGCTGGTGGAGTGTTGGCTTTTGTGGGAAGGTGGTGGTCTGGCCCACTGATGCCAGTCACTGGATCAACATGAAAGTGTTGCTGGAAGAGCTCATTCTCCGGGGTCATGAAGTGACTGTGCTGGTACCATCAATAAATCTGCTCATCGACTACCAAGACGCATCATCTCCTTTCACCTTTGAGGTCCTGAAAGTGAACATCACCCAAGAGACCCTGGATGCTCTCATGGAGGACTTCCTCAATCTCTGGATAAATGACCTCCCTAATCTGTTCCCCTGGGAGGTCATGTGGAGGATGAAAGAAGCCATATACTCCTTTTCCAACTTGTCAAAGCAGTCCTGTGATGCCTTGGTGTCAGATCCTCAGCTGATAGCAAAGCTGCATCAGGCCAAGTTTGATATTCTGATAGCTGACCCTCTAGCTGTATGCGGCGAGCTTGCAGCAGACCTCCTGGCAATCCCTTTTGTCTACAGTTTCCGTTTTTCTGAGGGGAACGTGGTAGAGCGGCTGTGTGGTGGGCTCCCATCTCCACCTTCGTATGTGCCTGCTAGCACAACAGGGTTGACGGACCACATGTCCTTTGTGGAGAGACTGCAAAATTTCTTCTTTTACTTTGCCATGGATTTATTTTTTTTAAAGTTTTGGCGAGATGAATGGGATGGATACTACAGTAATGTCTTGGGTAAGGCAGCTGTTGAGTGGTCTCTCTTGCATAAATTGTGCTTTTTGAATGCTTAGAGAGCTTAGTGCTATAGTCTCAGAATATTTCCTCAAAATGTCTCAATGTTGTAGATGACCTCCTTGAAGATGTAGTCCCGCGTTAGAAGGGAGCACACTGAGCTCCTTTCATCACTGATAGAAGGGAAGGAAAGGTCTCTGAAGGAGGCTGGAGATTACTACAGTAGATGAAGACACTAGTCTCTGCTGTGTCACAGACAGCAGTCCATTCTGCTTCTATACTTTAGTCCTCTTTAACGTCTGCTGCATTCATTTGATGTAGAACAGAAGTTTGCAGATGACACCCAGTTGGGAGGGAGTGTTGTTCTGCCTGAGGGGAGAACAGCACTACAGAGAGACCTGGATAGACTGGATCAATGGGCCAGTGTTAACTGTATGGGTTTCAATACAGCCAACTGTCAGGTCTTGCATTTTGGTCACAACAACCCCAGGCAACCTTACAGACTTGTGGAGAAGTGGCTGGAAAGCTCCATGATGGAAAGGGACCTTGGTGTACTTATGGACAGTCAGATGAATATGAGCCAGCAGTGTGCCCAGGTGGCCAAGAAGGCCAATGGCATCCTGGTTTGTATCAGGAATAGTGGGGTGAGCAGGACTAGAGAAGTAATCTTGCCCATGTACTTGACATTGGTCAGGCCTCACCTCAGGTACTGTGTTCAGCTTTGGGTACCTCAGTACAGAAAGGACATTGAGGTGCTGGAGCAGATCCAAAGAAGGGCAACAAGGCTTGTGAGGGGCTTGGAGAATATGCCCTATGAGGAGAGACTGAAGGAACTGGGGCTGTTTAGTCTGGGGAAAAGGAGGCTGAGTGCAGACCTCATTGCTCTCTTCCAACATCTGAAAGGTGCTTACAGCGAGAGCGGGGTTGGTCTCTTCTCACTGGTGACAGGTGACAGGACAAGGGGAAATGGCCTCAGATTGCACGAGGGTAAGTTCAGGTTGGCTATCAGGAAATACTTCTTTACAGAGAGGGTTGTTAAGCACTGGAATAGGCTCCCCAGGGAGGAGGTTGAGTCACCATCCCTGGATGTGTTTAAAAACTGTCTGGATGTGGTGATCAGGGACGATTTAGCTGAGGGTTGTTAGAATGAGGGCAGTATGGTTAGGTTGGGGTTGGACTTGATGATCTTTAAGGTCTTTTCCAACCTGAGTGATTTTATGATTTTATGAACAGATTTCTGATTACTTTTATTCTTTTCTACATTTTAAGCAGAGTGTTTTCATTCAATTTTTTTTTCATTCAAAATTGTAGCAGTTTCAATACACAGTAGTGCACAATTTACCTTATTTCTTAGGAGAGCAGAGATGATAATTCTGTGTTGGTCTGACAGAGGTTGTGCTTTATCTTTTATGGCTTGTATAGCCTAACAGATACCAGTGAAGTCCTGTTATATTTCCACTTAAGGATCTTTAGAGCGTTTAGTTGCAATTTTTGTCAATAATGGTACTGCTGGTCAGTTCTTCTTGTGAGCTGCATGCCTGTTTTAGTGCCTATAGAGGAATTTAGAGGACAAATGCTATTTCTTAATTTTGAGTACAGGCACTTCTACAGCTAAGGTGGTAGCAGATAAAGAGACTGGAGGGCAAAATCATTGTTTCAGTAAGTGCAAGCTTCTGGAGACACCTCCATTAGTAACATGGAACCAAGACTGAAATTGAACCAGTCTTGTTCTAACTAGGAACACTGGCTGTTGTTGGATGAAAAGGGCAAAGTTGCATGCATTCATGTTGCATGCATCATCTGGAGGTACTATCTGGCAGACCTGATTGGTACAGATGCAAAATGTGGGTTCGTCTTCTCCAAGAAGACCTTTCCCTTTCTGTCACCATACAGAGTTTGAAATACAGTTTCCTTAATCTATATACTTAAAACTTCTGTTCTAGCCTATTACAGCACAGGGAGTGACACAAAGTCTATAAAAGAGACCTTTCAGTTAAATGGACATTGAACCTTGTCTAGAATTATCCATGTTCAAACAGATAACAAATGAACAGCAAGCACAAGGGCATCTAGTCTGCTGCTCTCCAGTCTCTTCCTCTGTTTTCAGCAAACACCTCTACCTTCCAGACTAGCCTTTTTTCCATTAGTTGAACTTTTCTACCATGTAAGACAGTTTCACACTACAATTTAGGTATTGACACTTTTATATCACTCTAGTAGTAATGCAGGTGTCATTTTCACTCTTGGAATTTTATAGCTGAGTCATTGCCCTCTACTTTAGAAAAAAATAACATAGAAAAAAAAATACCACCACCATTTTATTTCTTTCTAATGCTGATCAAGTAGTATAAGATGCTCTATGGGCAACTTTCCTCCTGCTTATTTTGCTTGGATACTATTTGCATTAGATTGACCTTGGAAGATCATTTAACACTTTTAACCCTTTTCCACTTTGTGGGGAAAATACCACAGAGAACTTGCAAGATGTGCCTAAGAATATGTATTTTCCAAATGGGAAGCTATAAAAGAGTTCCCCTCTTCCCCTCAACTCCCACCCCCCTTTTTTTTTCTCCTGCAGATGAATTTCTAAAGACGTTTTGCCTAAAACAGTCTTCCAGAAGCTACATTTTGGGCCATTTTTTCTCTATACATTTCAGCAGAAGTTTTCCCAGTCCCCAGCAAACTCAGCTAAGTGTACCTGTTGTTTTTTTTTCACTGTAGTCTGAGCAGCCACAGACTACAGTGACATCATTTGAAAAATACAACAGAACTTAGTTAAAAAATTTCTTCTTTCCTGACCTCTGATCATCACTTTGTGATTTAATCTTATGTGGCCATAAGTTTTCTGTGACCGTTTTCTTCCTCCAAATGGCATTTTATTACAAACATAAGTAATTACATTTTTCAGCAGTACAAGAAATGCACAGAAATTAAATGCTTCCCAACTTGCTCATATACATTTATCCCGAAGGTTCAGAATGGTTTTAAACATACTTTTGCTTTGTTCGTGGCAACTTCAGAAGACTGAAGAGGGACAGGACAAGGAATAGCTCTAGATTTGTCCAGGTTTTCTCTTCCTGCCCAGTTTGACAGAATACACTGACTGGGAGTACCAAAATACAAAGGTAGGGCTAGTATTTTGCAATCTACTGCAAACAAGATTATACTCGTGATTGTTGTAAATGCCTTGTACCTTGCCCACAGGAAGGCCCACAACCCTGTGTGAGACGATGGGGAAAGCAGAGATATGGCTAATCAGAACATACTGGGATTTTGAATTTCCTCGCCCTTTCCTGCCCAACTTTGAGTTCGTTGGAGGACTTCACTGCCAGCCTGCAAAGCCACTGCCAAAGGTATTCTGACTTTGTTCTGCCATTGGCTGGTTATCTACAAAATCTATTTTCATCCCTGATAAGCCATGTCATGAGAAAGCTCATTCTCAAAACAGATGTTCTGCTGCTGGTGGGAGCAGGAGGGAGCTATTTAGCAATCTGCCCAGGCTTGTACAAACTGAGGGCTGGGTTTGCAGCTCGCTGTCAAAAGACGATAGGTGAGTCAGCAGGAACAAATATGGGTATTTGTTTTAGGAGAAGCAGGTGTTACCTCAGAGCAGCGAAGTGTAAAATTTAATTCTAAGACACTGAAAGAGAACACTAAAATACCTGATGCAGCAGGACACTTTGACAAGAAACACTCTTTAGACAAAATGGAGCCAAGACTTGCAGGAAGAGAACAGTGCTGCACACTTGTTCTATTGGTGCTTATTTTAAGACATCTTAAAGGGAGTAAAATACTCTGCATTTCCAGGCTGCTATGACTGGCAATTTTCAGGTGGAATTTTAAACTCCTGGATATTGATGATGATGAAGACATAACAAGCTCTGGTCTAGATTATTACCCCTGCAGGAGCCTCTTAGGAGGCAGGATATTTTGCAGTATAAATTGTCTACTGAAAAACAAAAAACAAAAAACAAAAACAAGCTTTCTTGACTTTTAACTGTTACAACTCTTAACTGCTACAAGGGTTGAGTTGAGAGAGAGGTATAGCCATTCCCTTTTGGATACTATTACTTCATTTCACATGACACTACCTAAAAGAAGGAACAGGAAGATCATAGAATCATAGAATGGCAGGGTTTAAGTCTGGTTATACTACAGAAATGCAGAACTGGCTAACAAAGTGACAGCAGTGACTTGACTACTCAGGATGCTGCAATAAGCTGTCAGTTTTCAGCAATGTATCCCCCTGAAGGTCTGCATATCATGACAAACTATGCCAGGGAGGATGCCTGAGTAGCCTTCTCACTCCAGTGCCAGGATCCATTCCTGCTGGTCATGCTCTGAAAGAAATGTTTCCTGAAACTTCCTGACTTGCATTCAAAGAGATTAGGCTTCTTCTGCTTGTCTTGCTCTCTCTCAGGGAGAAGCTGCCTGTTCTGCCAAGGGCAATGTGTATCTTTGTAATAGCCTTCTGTCAGCAGAGGTGCTTTTAACACCACGATCATCTTCTTGATAAACTAAATAAATTATACTCTCTCTTCATATAATCTGTGTAATATGCATTGTATGATTACTGTTAGTATGCCTTCTATCTCCTAGGAAATTGAAGAATTTGTTCAGAGTTCAGGGGAACATGGCATTGTGGTATTTTCTCTCGGGTCAATGGTCTACAACCTAACCGATGAAAGAAGTAATGTGATTGCCAAAGCACTCAGCCAGCTTCCACAAAACGTGAGTTTACTTTCAAGTATAAAACAACCTGCCTTATTTTTTGTCACTAACGCTTCCTTTAGCAAACCTACCTTTGATTGGCCTGATTTTTATCTGCATCTCTGCTGGATATCCCATGGCTAGAAGCTGGGCTTTGCAGAGGCAGAGCGCTGAGCCATCCCAGGTAGAATTAAAGTATTTTTCTTCCCCATTCCCAACCCAAATGGTATGGGGACGTGTCATAGGCCAAAATAACTAACCAAAGATCTAATCTAGAGCCAAAGCTGTTTGAATTACTGACAAAGGATATGTGAGTTTGAGATAATGCTCAGTTTTACGTGTAATAACACAGAAGATAATTCTGCAATCATAGTGTTTATCTCGGTGTTCCTTTGTTCAAGGTCCTCTGGCGATACAAAGGTAAAAAACCAGAAACTCTGGGCTCCAACACCAGGATTTATGACTGGATACCCCAAAATGACCTGCTCGGTGAGACTGATTCTATCTGGGATGAATTATACCCTTGGAAAAGCTATTTCCTTTATTTTTCTGCTAAAACGGCTTATTTGGGTAAAGAACCCCAACACTTAATGGCTACAGTTACTTTTGTACCTCAAGCAGCAGAGGTTAGCTCTTGAAGCCATAATTTCATAGTTTGTTTTTGACTTTATGGTGAGTGGGCTATACAAGAACTATGGAAGATACAGCCATACCCTAAAGGGAGTAGAGATCAGTGGCTCAGAAAGAGCAATTTGAGCTTAGCTATACAGATGGATCTCTTAAGGAAAAGTCTTAGTCTTACGGAGTCTGGTGGCATCAGTCTGCAAGGACTAAGAACCACGTGTCAGTAAGAAAGAAGGTATGTGCTCTGGACTTCACCCCTGCAGTTCATTTCCGGGGCACATCCTTCAAAATACATCAAGCATCTTAGATCAACAAGAAGGCTGCAGAAGAGGCTATTATGAACCTGAGCCAGTGTGAAAACTAGAACAGCATGACTGAGGTAACTTTACGGTAGTCTGGAGGAATATACCGGTTCATATACTGCATTCAAACATGAACATGTGGAAGTTGTGGAAGTTAAGCTAAGAGTGCATGCTCTGGTGCCAATCCAGAAGTCAGGGTGCATTTGCTCTAGTAGTTGACAGCTCTGATACTCCTGTGAACGTGGCCTGCTGCTGCTACATGTGTCTCACCTTCCCTGTTGCAGGCCATCCCTTGACGAAGGCCTTCATTACTCATGGTGGGACCAATGGGATCTATGAAGCTATTTACCATGGAATCCCAATCGTTGGGATTCCCATGTTTGCTGACCAGCATGACAACGTTGCTCACATGAGGGCAAAAGGAGCTGCAGTTGAGCTGGATTTCAGCACACTGACAACGCAGGATCTAGTTGATGCAGTGAATACAGTCATTAACAATTCTACGTGAGTTTTATTCTTCCATCAGAGTGATGTTATTTAAACTTTGGGCTGCTGATGCGAGACAGCTGGCTTTTCTGGGAACTCAGAATATTGTGTAGCTGGCACTTGGGTCTTAGAGAAAAAAACTAACCTTTACTAAGAATCAGCATCTTCACAGAAAAGAGAGTCCAGCAATCCTATTTTGTATTGCATTTTAAGATTCCTTTGAGAAAGATAGCTCTGGAGCAATCCTGAATCATCCTGAGATGATTCTCTGTTCACTGCTAGCATAAATTTTTTGGATACATTGCATGAGAATGCAAAGTTGTTTTATCTGTTCTCTGTATGGAGCTGTCACAGTCCTCTTATCTGAGTCTCCAGTATCCTTAGGTTATTGTAGGAACATACCTGAACAGATGTAATAAAGTTTACGTTGCTTTTTTACAGAGTAACTGGAATCATTTCACATAATTTTTCTTTGCAAAAGACTGACTTTCTCTATTAAAGTTCATATCTCAAGTTCTGTGCAGATAGGAATAAACTGGGCTGGTTTCAAATATTTTTATATAATGTTGATGAAAGTAAAAGCAGAACTTTCTACCTTCCTCAAGACAACAGCCAGTGGTGGAATGGGTTGTTTCAGAAATGAGTAACAAACCTCTTTTCTTTTTTCAGCTACAAGGAAAGTGCTTTAAAGTTATCCAAGATACATCATGACCAGCCAATTAAGCCTCTGGACAGAGCTGTCTTCTGGATTGAATTTGTCATGCGTCACAAAGGAGCAAAGCACTTGAGACCAGCTGCTCACCATCTTACCTGGTACCAGTACCACTGCCTGGATGTTCTGGCATTCTTGTTCACCTGTGCAGCCATTGCTGGCTTCATTCTTGTCAAGTGCTGCATGTTTTGCTGTAGAAAATGTAGTAGGGTCACAAAAAAAAAGAAAGAATAGATATGTTGATCCCATCAGCAGTCTTTCTTCTCATACACTGCTTCAGTAAAACGTTTCTGCATACTCCTTGGTAAATACAATTATAAGGATATGCTTTAAGTTATGCATATCATGAAGCACCTCATTCAACTGGGTTGTACTAAAAAAGCAGTTAGAGAGCTGCTTGCTAAGCCAGCAAATTACTGTTGGCCTCTATAACATTGAATTATAGCTGTCTAATCCCTTGGGAAGCTGCTAGCTGATCACACAGTATTCCTAAAATGATAATTACTGCTCTAACTTTTCAAATTTAGTTTGGCGATCTTTTTTAAATTCAGCCCTTCTGTGTGTCATGCAGTGGTCCTGCAATTGGTTTTCTTAGCCTAGCTCCGTCCTCCCCCATAAAGTCACCTATGCTTGGTGATTCAAAACCAAAACACCTTTCCTGCCTGTATACCTCTTTCCAGATTGAACAGTGAAGCTCTTAAAAAACACCCAACTGAAGGGCTAACATCATGAAAGACAGGGAGCTGCCGAAGTCTGGTTAAGCTTCTGTCACCTCTTTCTACAAATGCACTACTTAGTGGTATATGAAAGATCAGAGCTTATCTGAGTCTGAAACCAGTAGAGAAACTGCTTCCTTTCCTCAGGGAACCATTCCCTTCTCCCATCCAGTATGCTTGGATTCCTACTGCACACATTATCATTCCAATTACACCACCACAAGTATGTGAAAATAACCTATATGTAACATGCTTGCGTTAACCCCCAAATCCTCTGAGCCATAGTAACTGATAAATCCAGAAAAACCTTGAGGTAGAACTTACAAAGTAATCGTGTCACACACGGGAACACCACAATACTTACTTGTCTTGCCTGAAGTATTGGTGGGAAAATAATGCTGTCCATGGCTCAGACAGCGATGTTAAATGTTGCACTACTGAAACTATTTAAAGAGACCTTACTGATGAAAACTGATGCTAGTTCAGGCCTCCTGCTCAAGGTAAGGCTATTCGACTATTATGCCAGCATACTTAAAGAATCTGCCTTGATTTTAACTAATTTGTTGTATTCTGGATGTTGCATATTTGTTTTCAAGCAGATTAAGAAAACATTATCTTTGTTTACATAATAAAATTCCCCTCAATATGTTAACTTTTTAATTGACTCCTTTGTTAGCAGCTTCAGTTCCACTGAAATATCTTCATACAAAAACCTCCACAAAAGTGTAAGTGAATGGTTTCCAATCTAGAGTGATTAGAACAAGCTTACTAGTGTTTCACATGGTAACTAGGAATCCAGCATGGTCGTGACCGCATGTGCAGAAACATGTTAACAATGAACACACAACAATCGGGTCCTAGAGCAGAAAGATTTCACAAAACCTCTTCATACAGCTGACTCCTGAAACTCAGCTTCACCATACTTCATCACGGAGTCCTCATCATCCAGCTTTGAAAGTAGAAAACTGGCTAAGGATTCTAGTTCTGTTGACGGTAAGGTCAGTAAGATTTCTAACATATATTTGGTACATTTTGGCATTGGTGAGACAGAGCTAACAAAGGATACAGGAAATACAGTGTTCTGCACTTTGAAGATTTGAGAAGGTAGTTCAATCACAAGGGTTGGAAGGGACCTCAAGAGATCGAGTCCAACCACCCTGCTAAAGCATGTTCCCTACAGTAAGTCACACAGGCACACATCTAGATGTGTCTTGAGTATCTTCATAGAAGGAGATTCTGCAACCCTCTCTGGGCAACCTGTACAGGAAGCTGACAGAGCACTGGGAAAGTTCTTCTGCATGTTTGTATGGAACTCCCTACATTCAAATTTTAAGCCATTGCTCCTTGTACTATCGCTACACAACACTGAGAATAGCCTGACCTCATCAGTTTGCTTCTCCCCTCCCTTTAGATATTTATAAACACTAGTCAGATCCCACTTCAGTTTTCCCCAGGCTGAGCAGATTACTCAGCCTTTCCTCATATGGGAGATGCTCCAGGCCCTTTATTATCTTTGCGGCCCTTCGCCAGACTCCTACTTACTCAGAGCAATTTGGCTTATCAAGCACTGAATTAAAGTCAAGCTTAAAAACAAAGCAATACAAAAAAAAAAACAAACAAACAAACAACAAACCTGCAACAGCTATTATTTCCAAATGAAGCAGTGAAATATCTCAGAGAATGTAGGTGGTCTGTGGTGCACATCTCAAACTGGCCACAATAAGCATGCTCAATTTGACAGACCAATCTAATCCTGCTTCACACCTCTCAGTTCATAGTTTTGAGGGAGCTTAACCTGTTAAACTTCTTGAGGCATTTAAAGAACATTTCTACATGAAGGTCACGCTTTTTGCTCATGTTTACTATACAAGCATAAACTGAAATACACAAAGCCTAAAACACTGTCAGTTCCAAAAAAGCATGTTTCCACAATTGCAATACTGGCAAATCCTATATTGCAGTTTGTTAATACAGCTAAAGCATACAGTGCTGCAGAGCTGAAAGACTACAAAGAATGTGCTATAACTTGACTTAATTAAATCAGAAGACAAAAAATAAAGGTTATTAATAAGTCCACAAAGGCAGTGCTACAAATGCAGGTTTTGAGAACTAGGAAACTGCAGAAACTGAGAAATGTCCTCTACAACTTTTATCTTTCTTCACAGTTCTATACCATTAGCATTTAGTTTGAAATAGTTTCTATTTACAAGAAATAACAAGTACAGATTACTGCATCACAAGGAAGATATGAGAGAGGTACGATTGTGGCTGAGAACAGCCTATTAATAGCATGAAGATCATTTTAAGTTAAAAGTGTCGAACCTTAACTTTGATTAGCTGCATGAGCCGTGTTAGTCAACTATTTCATTGAGGAAACAGAAAAATCAGTTACCTTTTTGTTTCATGTTTCTTGATCAATTTCACCAATTGCAATTACCTTTAAACAATTTTCTCAATACTTTCTCAATACTTTCCTAGAACAGCCCTAAGAAAGCAGGCAAGCTTAGAAGATCAAGAAACTCAGTCTGGAGCATCAACCATTTCAACAGTTACCAATTTATTTTTATATAAAAAAAAGAAATGGTAGCAATGTAGAATACAGCAATATTTCCTGTTCCACACACGCAGGTTGTGAACATTCCAAGCAATGTGTACATTTTGGAAGGAGACTAGACAAGATAATTGACCAAAATGTTACTGAACACGGGAAGATTTTTTTTCTTTAAAAAGGTTAAAAATTAGGTATCAATATTGTCTTTTTAATATTGCTTTCATTACTGAAGACTGAAAAAACACTTGACTTTACAGACAGTTAAAAACAAGAAGAAAAGAAGAAAGCTGCTATGGCACCGCCAGTCAGTCAAAAATCATACTTAATATTTGCATACTTGATAGCAGCATTCTCCCACAGAACCATGTGAAACTACAGGAGGAAAACATCAAAGCAAAAAAAATGTATATATATGGCAGTTTTCCATCAGTATTCAAAAACCTAGAATGAAGTTACTAAGTAGATGAACACTCACTGAGAATCAGTATGTACATTCTTGACTGTTTTCCATTCTGCTCCAATAGAATTGTCAAGTGTCAGCTCTGTGTATTCTATTTTTGGCCAAACTCAGTTTTTCCAGTTCACAGTTCACTGCATGCTTGGAATAAAGAGGGTCATTATAAATCCTTCTACACAACGAACTTTAAGTAGACAGCTGAAAATAAAATGTACTACTTGTAAACACACAAAAAAATACAAGCTCTTTTTGTTTCAAGTGAGCACTGGTTCTAAACAGATTATCTTCGGTATCTACCTCTTTCTCCTCTGTCTCTGTCCCGGTCACAAATTCTCTCTCTCTCCCTTTCCCTATCACGGCCTCTGTCACGTTCTCTGTCTCTTCTATTATCTCTAGGCCGGTCCCGTTCCCGCTCTCGATCCCTCTCTCGAGGCCTGCTTCTCCGACCGCTGACAACTGCTTGTGTGCGGCGAAGAAAGTCGTCTACCCTCATGTCATAGTCGTGCTGTGATGAAAGGACAGCTGTTTATTTTCTTTGCCAGATGAAAATTCCCTCCCTGTCCTTATCCACAGGACTGGCTGTAACTCTTGGGAAAGCCCAATATAAAAGTAATAATTAAAAACAAAACAACAACCAAAAAAAATCAACTGAAAACATGCATCCAACAGTACAAGTTTCTTCTCTCATCCTCAGGGCAGCACCATACGTCTGTATTTCTAGTGTGCATGGAGTAAGATGAGGTTCAGATGTCAGATATCAGCAAGAGACCTGAAAGCTAAACAACTTTTGAGGACAGCTGAAAATTTTTCAACAATCTACTCTAGTTTTTGATGTGCCTTTAAGAGTTATAGAGCTCTTCATTAACAGAAACATTTCTTTTTGTGCATGGCTGCATGCAATTATAGAAGGCCACATCCTTATTCAAACTGAGCCTCAACAAGGAAGTTCACAACTTGACAACTGTATGCCAATTTTAAGCAGACAGGTCAGTTTAAGACCACATTCTGATAATGTTTCACTTCTACATGACCTGGAAGAGAAGCTTTTCAACAGTACTGAAAATAACTCATAGTTTGACTAGATATCTTTCAAAGGAAAACTGTATTGTTAAGATCTGTATGGCCCAAGTCAACATGTTTCAGGTTAGGCTACCTACATCTGTACCCCAAATTCCTCCCATTTCTAATCTAGCCTGCAGACTTGCCTTCCCTTGTCTTTTTGGACACTTACTACTCGTTTGTCTCTATATCTTGCTTCATGTGGTACAGGATGATGTCCTGAGTATGGAGGGTGAGCTTGAGGTGGAGGTGCATGGTGCTGATAGTAAGGATGGTGTGGTGGCTGCTCCATACCTGGATACGGTGGCTACAAGAAAGTTAAAGGCAGTCTGTTTAATGTTCCAAAACAAAGGTATGTACATATAATGTAGCGCAGGGAATACACAGCAGAGGTTACTTTCATTCCAGTGGAAATACAAACACCCAAATACACAATTACTAGGCTGTGATCAGATATAAAAGGTTATTTCTCATAAAGCACGCATGCTTTATCGCTGCTCTACCACTTATTTTTCAGAAGTTCAGGGAATATCCTGCCTAGACCCAACCTCTTCCCATATCTACCTTAAGATGATACTGTAAGTAAACTTTTGTTACTTGATTCTGTTAACTATAATTTTTTTTTAACAATCCATAAAATTTTTGTCCAAACTAGTAAATTCTCAGATTCTTTTCAGAGCCATGGCTACCCATACATACTGTTTTACATGAATAAGCTTACTCCGCAAGGAAAACTATTCAACAAAATGCTAGTTGATTATATTATTATTAATATTTAAAACAAGGCATCTTTTTGCTGTTCTACTCCACTTCTTTAAATGATCAAGCCATTTCTTTCATATATTACCGAAGCATCTTGGCTTGCATTCCTGTTCACAAAAGAAATAGGTGGAAGCACTGGCTTTTAGGATATTTATGCAAGCATGCTTAATGGAGAGGAAAAAATGACAGGAAAATCTGGAGGTTTAGCTGTGCTTGATAAACCACTCCCAGTCTAACAACTTTGAACTTGTTCATTTCCTTCAGTTATAAGAAGTCAGAGCTCTGTCTCAACTGAGCAAAAATGAGACATGTCTCCACATCCCGCAAATCCTTTTGCTTTCACAATACACGCAAGAGCCAGAAGACTTGTTACAGCTACCCAAATCATGACCCTCACTCTAGATCATAACAAAGTAACTTGTTACAATGACTTTTCCCTCACTGGATGAAGAAGCTGAAGCTGAATTTAAGTACTTAAGTAATTAATTTCAATGTACATAACTGCAAGTACATGAATTCACATATATGCTCACCTGGACAGGGAAAGAAATGCATTTCAGTGAAGAATGCTATATAGCATGTCTTATTTTCATCATGCCATTCAGTATGCTCGGCTATTTTTCCACATGCTTCACTGCCCTACCCAAAAGCAAGCCACTGCGTAACACCTCAACATGCCATGATCCTATGCAGCAAGTCCAGTTCTGAAACATCTACTGTCTGAAAGAAAGCCCATTACTACAAATCTTTAGTTGAAGACAAAATTTTGTCACATCCTCTTGTGTGGTTTAAAAGTGAGGACCTATAGTCTCCTCTGAGCTCCCTGCAGGTTCAAGATTAGTCATATTCTCACTGCTGTACTACTAACTAGAATGACAGACTATTACTGAGAGTAAAGTAAAAATACAAATAGCTGATATAAATTACAGCAATTACAGCAGAGATACATTTTAGGAAAAGGGAAGGGTTGAGCACAGATCAGATGCACTAGGCTTCTATAGCAGGGTACAGAAAAGCCATGCTTTGCAGAAAAAGGCAAAGTTGAATAAGACACAAACCATTCCTTGCCATGGTGGTGGTGGTCCCATGTTGTGGAATTCCCTCACGTAATCATTGTAGGACTAAAATGAAAGACAGGGATATTAATATTCGACAGGAGTTCTTCAGAAGAGCTGAAAGCTGAATATAGGAAGTTCCCCCGAAATCAGCATGCACAAACTTACCCCATTTAAAAATACATCTCGTCGAACTCCTGAAAATCGTCTGTTGGGAATAAAAATTTGCAGAACTAAATACACGTTATCCATTTGGACAGGTTACCAGGACATAAAAAGAACAGCATGAACACACCTTACCTGTCTACTTCAGGATACCTGGGATCCTTTATATACCCTGTTCAAACATCAAGCAGTATTAATTTACCATTTCATGACAATCATCTTTAAATACATACTAATTAGAATCTATTCTCCAGCTATCAAATTCTAACAGATATTATAGGGTAACACCCATTGTATTCAGTTTCAACATAACTATAGAGAACTTACAATTTCTCATAGACAATACAAAGTAGTATAATATAGTAACAAAAATTATATTTTACATATATAATATATACACACTCATAGGAACTTGCACACAGTACAACTACGTAAAGGAATGCCTATGCAAACAAAGACTTGGAATTTTATTCAAATAAATTGGGAATGCCCACAAGCTTGAGGAATACTGTCCCCAGACAGTCACCACATGGCCATAGCTACTTAACAACTAGTAGCACTCAGTAGAATCCTACTATTCCCAGCAATTCTTAAGACCAATTTCCTAATAGGTCTTGAACAAACAGTTATACAGAACATTAAAACAAACAAGGTAAAATCACCTGGAAAAGCCTCACAGGATAAAGAACTATTACAAGTTTAGAATGTAAACTTTTTACAGCTATGCAAAATAGTGCAAAACACCAGGCATGCTTATATTACTAATAAAATAATGCCTTTGAGTTTTATTAGATTTTACATTTTTGTTCTGTACTCTAAATAAAAATAATGGTCTTGAAAAGCCAGGAAGCAGCAACACTTTTTTTTTTTTTTTTTCTTCAAAGAACACTAAATTTGCAGTCAAACTGGACAGATAAAAGCAGATTCTTAAGGAAGATTTAGATATCTACTACTGAAATAGTGGGATATATATTCCCAGTAACAGTAAAGCAAGATTATGCAATTACAACTGACCATTTTTTTAATATTTGCTTTCTGAAAAATAAAATCTGCAATATTACCAATGCATATATAATATATTATTGTTCTACTACCACTGCAAACACTTTCCTGGAAAGTAACAAAGTTGTTTTCCCACATTCATGATTAGACCCTCTCATAAAAGGCAGTAAAAGTTTATTTTCCCTTCCTCATGTCAAGCTTGTAAAAAATAATAATAATAGTAATAATAATAATTCTATCTGAAAATACAATTGAACATGCAACCTAAATAAACCTGATACTCAGGCAACCTCAGCTCATTTTTTCAGCTGGAAATTTCTCAAAGATTTTAATTTGACAATTACTGCATTGACAAGTAGCTTAAACTAATTCTAATGATGGATAGGCATTTCAAC